TACTGTGAGAGAGAAGGCACGACTTCTGAATCCAACAAGATTGCACTGATTAATACAAGTAGTCCTCGAGTTATGACCATTCGTTCAGCGATAGTTTGAAATTACGACGGGTTCTCAAAGTTCCGGCCATTGCAGTGCCCTCGTGGTCAAGTGAACAAACTTAGGTGCCTGGCAACCAGCTTGCACTTATGACCAGTTGCGGCATCCTGCAGTCATGTGATCGCCATTTGCAACCAATTTCCCTCAAGCAATTTTCCCTAACCAAAGTAATGGGAAGCTGGCAAGGAAGGTCACAAGTCACTGGGGTAGGTCTCCTTATATGCCTTTCTTCCCTCACTCATATGCACGTGCCTTCCTTGCCCTCCTTGCCCTCCTTCCTCCCTTCACTCGCACACACTCCATGCCCTCTTTCCACTGCCTCCCTGTGATCAAACACATGCACACACATACCCCGCGCCCTCTTTCCACTGCCCCCCTGTGCTCGCATACACGCACCTTGGCCTCCCTGCAATCGCACATGCACTTATGTATCCTGCTCCCTCTTTCCATGTCCTCCCTGTGATCGCACGCACCCTGTGCCCTCTTTCCATAGCCTCCCTGTGATCGACCTCCCTGTGCTTGCACACACTTACCACCCTGTGTACTCTTTCAACAGCCTCCCTGCGTTCACATGTACCCTGTGCCCTCTTTCCACAGCCTCCTTGCACTCGCACACATGCACACACATACCCCAGACTGTCTTTCCATGGCTTCCCTGTGATCTCACACATGCACACATGCATCCCTGTGTCCTCTTTCCATGGCCCCCCTGGGACTGCATGCACCCATGCCCTCATTCCCTGGCCTTTCTGAGCTCACGCTGCATTAAGAAGCTCTTCCCCCAACTTGCACACAGCCTGTGCCAGGCCTCCCAGGGCCTCTCCCATCCCGCTGCAACACCCCCACATTCCTTACCTGGAACTCCCTCCGCTTCCCACTTAAAGACCTGGTCCGCGTGTCTTGGGTTACTACAACAATCAGGACTGCCTGGATTGCCTCATGTGACATCACATAATCACAATCATAACTCGAGGACTATCTGTACAAAGGAGTCAGTTCTGGTGGGGTGAGCAAAAACAGCTGGAGACAGGTGGTCCCACAAATAAGCCAATGTAGGGCTTTATGGGTGATAACCACCACCTTGAATCGCAGCTGGAAGCTGACTAGAGGCCAGCATAGTTCGCAGAACAATGGTATTATATGAGTGTATTGTGGAATGCTCCAAACTGCCTGCACTACTGGATTCTGGATAGTTACAGCTCCTCAATGCTCTTTAAGGACAGCCCAATATATTATTATATGCCCAATGTAGCACATTATAGTAATCAAATCAGGAGGTGACTAAGGCATGAATGATTGTGAGTAGGGTGCAGCTGGTGCACAAAATGAACCTCTGGAAAGGCTATGAGC